GAACTTTTTGTTTCACCGACATATTTCCTGTCTTTTTGATGAAAATATTTACGTTGGCATCAATAACTATTTTTTTCAAACAATTCCTGTATATTACTACTCATATCAGTACACTAAGGGATTGACCATTTAACTTCAAAAGGGGGATTATGTATGGTTTTTTCCTAAAAAAAATTTCTGATCCCCAGTTTTATGAGAAAACATATATTGTGGTCAAGCAGATGACAAAATAATGTTCTGATTCCTGATTTTCCGAATACCGTATATAATAGTGCTAATTTCGAAAAAAAATATGTGTGTGATAGCGTTGAAAAACTAAACAATTTTCTTACCCAGAAAAAAAACATACTCCCCTTTTGAAGCTAAATGGTCGGTCCGTAAATGTATATTTTTTTTCAATATATGGACATGAATAGTATTCTGGACAATGCTGAAAGTCAAAAAATGCTGGTACCGACGTTTATATTTCAATAAAAAAAGACAGGAAATATAATATATAAAAAAAATCAAATCTAATCAAAAGATCAAATCCCTATCAACTCACCAATGCACGATTGATCCTATAGATACAACATTTCCGTGTAATACATGTTCAAATAGGCAGCAAATCTTGAAAAAAATCATTTAACTTATATCACCAATTTTGGACGGTAAGCTACGATTTGGTCTTATAGTGACACGTGTTTAATCATGATCAACACTATTTGAGACATATAAAAACCTACAAGCATGAAATATTTAAAAAAAAAATCCAAAATATATTCCTATATATATATCTAATAACAAGACAAAATCCATTTTTTCATAACATTTTATTCACTAATGAAATAGGAAATTCATTCTTTTGATAAATTCATATTGGTATTGAAATTATACATATTGAATTCATATATTTGGGAGCAAACGTACGATTTTTTTATTTTTTTTAAGGGGGAATGGGGGGATGGAATGGCACATCCTGCATTTTTTCAACAAAGAAAGGATCAAGCCTATTTATTTTAAATTTATTTTACCCCCTCCCCCTTTTTCCGTTTTTCCCCAAATAAAAATCCAATGTTAGCTTGCTTACCTCTGAAATCTTTTTCATACATTTATTTTACTTACTTGCGAAGTTGCATTTTAAAAAGTCTCAAATTGATACGACATTCATCTTTTACATGACATGGTTCTTTTTTATAAAATTATTAGATTTTTGAATTTCTTGAGAAAAAAAAAACTCTCGGCTGGAGGGAAGTGAAAAAAAATTGTTTAAACTTTAACTTACATTAACTGGTATATGGCCATTTAAGTGTTTAATCTGTTTTATTTTGCTACCTCTTCTAAATGCAAAATGTACTACTTCTTTCTTGAAACGTCGTACAAGTCAGATACAAAACAAAGGTTACAAAAAACAGGCCGGAAACAAACTGCCGTATAGTTTTTCTGCACTTGTAGTCAGGTCAAGGTCCTCGGCTATCGCCTCGGACCTTCACCTGACTACTCGTTTAGAAAAACTATCCGGCAACGGTTGTTACCGGCCTGTTTCTTGTTACCGTTGTATTGTATCTAATACATGTACATAATAATATTGTATATGTATTACTATCAGTACATATCAGTTTGACGACTATTTTGAGGCCATGCCCCCTAGGACATGTTCCAGTGACTTTGAATTAATTAGCAATTTTCAATGTTAAGTTTTTCTGCGTAAGTTATATTGATAGGAACTACTTACAATAAACAACGATATTTTCTATAAAGTTACATTACTGTCTGTACATCTCAGTGTGTTGACCATTTTCAGGCCCTGCCCACTAGATCATGGTTCAGTGACTGAATTAATAAGCAATGTTGCTGTCCATCAGATTGTCTTTTTCTGAAATTTATGCCGATAGGCGAGACATACATTGTATCTCGTGTGTCAACAGTTTATTAATATGATGTTGTTTACCGAGCCCGTAAATTTAGATAGGATCCGGGTAAACTTATCGACCCTTTAAATAAACTTATTCTAAAAGGTTACCAATTCAACACTATATTTAAATCTTTGAATGTTGTTTTTATCGGTATAAATATTGATATTGTTATCAATAAATTAAAACCCAACTTAATATTATTGTTATACTCATATGTACATTCACGGTCCTACAATCTATCGATACCTATATCTTGGCATTGCACAAGGTCATGTTTTTCTCGGATTGTTTATGACGTCTTTACACTAATTCCATTGGATGTTGCATGTGTACTGATTTATATTTTAGTCTTATATTCACGATTTTTTTAATAATTGTTGTTATTGGGTTTGAACTAACTTTCAGTAACTGCGAGTTCTCTCAGATCTTTACTTTGTGTCTTTTGTGTTTTTGTTCGTTTTTTTGTGCTTTGTATCGATCTGATGAGTTAAGCCCTTTTCAGCTGATTTTTATTTGTTCTTATGTTAAACTGTATTCAGGCTGTTAGTTTTCTCGTTTTCTCGTTTTATTTTTTTCATTTCGGGGCCTTTTATAGCTTACTAAGCGGTATGTATTTTGCTTATTGTTGAAGGCGGCCGTACGGTGACCTATAGTTGTTAACTTACACGTCATTAGGCCTCTGACAAAGAGTTGTATCATTGGCAATCAGACCACATCGTTTTATTTTTCTATTTGCAGCATACAATGTATATGTAATAAGCTTATTGACATGGTGTTTGTATTGTTGAACACTGTTTTTCCTCATCTACCTGAAGTTGTAACGAATTGACCAAGTAACTTGGGACGAATTGTTTGATTCGAATTGGAGTTTGGAACAAATCATTCAGATACCACTAAGTTTCGCGGGATTGTTTTACCAGAAGTTTAAAGCAACAATACAAAGGAGACATAACACACATTCACCTTTGAGACTTTCTTTTCAACCGCTCGTTTCACTTTTATCAACTGTACATAAACCCTCTTAAAATTCAAAATCGTGTATTTACAAACTGACAGGACTGGTGCGCGTTGACTCCATTTTCGTACCTTTACATAAAAGACCTCTTGGAACAGAGGTGGGTAATCGGTTGTCGGTGCGGAAAGATTACGACACATTTGTGAAATACTCGTAAACTTGGTCGTACGATTAACGAACCTTTGTGAAACGATAATCAGAAACGAATAATCCAGTGATTGTCTCTGACTGCTTTCTGTCCTAACTCAGTGTTTTTCATTTATTGTTGTAATATGGTCTGAGCCTTTCGATTTTTTTATCCTGATTGTTTTATCGTCTCGGCACCTTAAATAACCTAATTTACGGATAAAGGTTTTCTCGTAATTGTTGAAGGTCGTTATTAGTCATATCCTTGACCTTTGGATTCCACGTCTTAATTTTATCAAACTGCTATCAAAACACAGACACTTAGATAAATGATACAGAACAAAAATTTAGAGTACCACTAGATGGCGATCGGTAAAATGTCAGAAAGACACCTTTAACCCTGATATATAGTTTGCACCTGACGACGGTTATTCCAGAAACACGGGTGTAGTTGTCTTGATAATAGGCATTATACTTTAAACAAGTGTGCACATGCTGAAATTTCTCGCCCGCTCTACTGATAATGATTGATTTTATGTTGAAAGTTTTATAAGAAAATTTACTACGAGTATCACATAAATCTAACATTATCAATGATCCATGCAGATGAGGAGATGGTCAGATAAACCCTGCCAGAAAGACATTACCACTAATATGAGAAACGGACGTGACAACTTCATTTTTGGCAAATGATCCATGAAAATGAGTCCAGGTCAAATAAATCCTGCCAGTCGGAAATGCACACTTTGCAAGCATTTCATACAACAAATATAGTTGCCGTGTTGCTTACAGTATCTATGAAACTGACCAAACTACAAAACGTTATGCAATGGACAATGAAAATGTGGTTTAGGTCAGATGAACCCTGCCAGAATGATAATGTAAATAAATACATATGATACAATGAGTTTGTACAATCAGTGATATTGTAGGTGTTAGACCACCAATTACTCCATCCAATTTAGAATGTAGGTAAAAGTAGCCCTACTATGACACAAAATAGTGCTTTTGATGTCCTTGTTTATTTAAACTATTGGCCAACAAACTTGCAGAAATGAAACTTTTGGTGAAAGAGAAATATATTTAGACCTTTTTGAGCCAAATTTTACTTGTCTATGAGTTTGCATTAAAAATTGAGGATTAATGCGCTCCATAGTATACTAATTTAAGATTTCCAGAAAACCAGGGGTTATTTTTGGAGTGCCCCTATTCGAAGGTCAGTTTTTTCTTAGAAGGCTTAAAAAGTATGTTGAAAATTGGCATGTAGAAAGCTGATACATGTACAATTCAGGATACACCTGGTTTCTATAAAGTTAAATTTATTAAGGTAAAATATTTAAAAAGCTGTGAAAATTGCAAAATGTGGTTGAACAGATAGGGATTTTTAATTGATGGTCTGACACCTGTATATCTCTGAAATAATTAGTGATTTTGTAAAACCCCTTACTGATTCAGTTATTTTGTAAAATCCCTTAGGCTAGCTGATTCAGTGATTTTGTAAAATCCCTAACTGATTCAGTGATTTTGTAAAACCCCTGATTCAGTGATTTTGTAAAAATCCCTAACTGATTCAGTGATTTTGTAAAACCCCTAACTGATTCAGTGATTTTGGAAAACCCCTAGCCGATTCGGTGATTTTTTAAAATACCTGTAATTGTTAGGAATTTTTTATAATCACTGAAAATATCGCTCGGGAGTTTGTAAAATCCCTAATTACAAGTTGAAACATAATATCTGAAATTTATTTTTATCTCTATCACAGTTTTGTCTACCTTTTTATACGGTTTAGAATGGGGAGAGTGTATCTATTCTTATTTAGAGCCTATTATTTTCTGTTCTGTTAAACTCATTCAACCCCTCTGATAACAAAGCACAACATTTTGAACTTACAATTTTTGCCAATGTAAATCAAATAACAATGCGATTAACTTGATTAATCTAGATCAAGAACATATCTTTTTCAGATTACATTACATAACTATATTACGAGAACCAGTTATAAGATATATCAGTGAATGGAAACAAGTTCAACGAATCGAGATGACGTGGCCTTCTTCGCTGTTCTGCGATGGACGGAAGGCATCTTCAAAAGAGGTCCCGTCTTGTTATAATGGACAAAAATGGAAGAATATAACATTTGAAAATTTCGTTGGTTGTAAATCGAACCTAGCAATTAATCGACAAACCCGGATGTTAGCTAACCTTAGTTTAGTTAACTGTTATAATACGACTGGGATGAGTTTTGAAGAAAGACAAACAAAAATATTGGAAAGTGCGTTAGAAAATTTAAAGAACATGGCATTTTTTGGATTAACGGAATATCAGCTAGAAACACAACTTCTTTTTGAAATGACATTTGATATAAGATTTAAACATTTATTTGAGCAACACAATAACACGTATGCAGAAAATGCTATTTACAATTTGACTGAAGCACAAATTAGTATAATTAAACAGCTAAATGATTTAGACATTAAGTTGTATGAATTCGCAAAGGAAATTTTTTTTGAACGATTAATTATATATAAATCATAAAAAGAAATATTCTTAATAAAATATTGTCAGATTAACTTATTTCTTCTAGAAACGATCTTAACAATAAATTATTATGAAAGATGTGGTATGATTGCCAATGAGACAACTCTCCACAAGAGGCCAAATGACACAGAAATTAACAACTATAGGTCACCGTACGGCCTTCAACAATGAGCTTGCTCATATTAATTCATTTTTTTTTGTCTTTAAGTCCATTTTCAGATTTTGATTTTAATTGAATGGTTATTTGACTTTTGATATTACACTAAGATGAACCTACCGGAAGAATAGAGAACAATATATACACAATTGATTATGAATGACTTTTCTTTTAATGTCTCTAAGGAGTTACATGTAATACCTAGTAACATAAAATTTCTGTTATATGCCGTGGTTAAAATGTACAAGTCACAATGTTATCAAGACGAAGAATTCAAAGAATAATTCATTAGCGGATTCAGATGTAGGATACTGGTAGTACATATGGAAAGATATTTCATTCTCCAAAAACTAAATATAAATTTACTGAGAAACATAAAATTGTAGGTACATTTAAACAAATGTAGTACAAAATTATACATGTATATACATAATAAACTGTAAAAATACATGTACAAGGAGTTAAGGACTCACCTTTTTATTAATACATTTACTGAATAAACACACTTTCTTTAATTTTATTGTTTTTCATTACCAAACCGCGAGTTAATTGACTTCAATGTAAATATTTACAATATATAATTTACGTTTGTTTTTGTAACTGAGAACAGCAAAACAAATAATTATAAATTCATCACTTATATCGCCGGAGTTACATAGAGTACATTTCCTTTCACTGTGGTCAATGTTTTGTCATCTCCATTTTTCTCTAAAGAAAGCATGGTTACCTGCTTTGAATTTACTTAGAATTTCGGAATTTTTTTTTCAAAATCAAGTAAACTTGTGAATGTTATACTAAAATATATTATGTCCCAGAGTAATCTGAATCAGAAAAAAAATCACACTATCCCAAGTCAAATCCATAAAACCCCAACCTTCCCTGTTTTTAAAAGTTACTGGATTATGCAATGAAATGATGTAAATTTAAGCTGGGACAAGTCAATATGTTATGTCCCGGATTGAAGTTATCATTTATAACTAGTCATTGGGATTCCATTTTTGTCTCGCCTTGACGGAGTCAAAAAGCGAGACATAGATATGCTGTTTCCGGCGTCGGCAAAGGCGGCGGCGGCGGCGTCAACAATGTATTAGTTTGTGATTAGGTCTAGTTCATGGTGAACCACTAGTGGTAGGTCAATGATATTTGGTATGCAGTTGTATTAGCATTGGCACATCTCATTACCATGGAGATCATTTGACCCCGCCCCCTCAGTCAAGGTCTATTGACTTTGAAACTTTTCATAGTTTACATGTATTAGTTTGTGATTAGGTCAATTCATGGGGAACCACTAGTGGTAGGTCAATGATATTTGGTATGCAGTTGTATAAGCATTGGCATATCTCATTTCCATGGAGATTATTTGGCTCCGCCCCCTTAGTCATGGTCTATAGACTTTGAAAATTTTGCTAAGTTAACATGTATTAGTTTGTGATTAGGTCAGTTCAAGGGGAACCATTAGTGGTAGGCCAATGTTAATTGGTGTTCAGTTGTATAAGCATTAGCACATCTCATTTCCATGGAGAATATTTGGCCCTGCCCCCTCAGTCATGGTCTATTTACTTTGAAGCTTTTGCTTAGTTTACATGTATTAGTTTGTGATTAGATCAGTTTAAGACGAACTGTTAATGTTAAGTCAATGATATTTGGTATGCAAATTTATTGGCATTTGCATGTATCTTTTCCATGGAGATTATATAGCCCCACCCCTGATCATGGTTCATTGACTTTGAAACTTTTACATTGTTTACAAGTTAATGTTTGGGTTTAGGTTTATTTAAAGGGAACGACTTATAATAAGTCAATAGTATTTGGTATGCAGTTGTATTAGCATTGGCACATCTCAATCCATGGAGATTGTTTAGCCATGTACCTTCAGTCATGGTTCATAGACTTTGAATATTTGCATAACTTACATGTTAAAGTATTGCTATTTTAATTTCAACATTTGCATTATCAAAATTACAAAAAGGCGAGACATATCTTTGTGTTAACAGTTTATTATATTTCTATGTAGTTCGTATTTATAAAAAAAAGGTTTAGTATACGTATGAGACGGTGCTTTCGGTCCGCAATTTGCTTTTTGTCCGATAATTTTGCTTTTTGTCCGACACTTTTGCTTTTTGTCCGTTGCTTTCGGTTCGTTTTGCTTTTGGTCCGATAATTTTGCTTTTGGTCCGACACTTTTGCTGTTTGTCCATACGAGCAAAACGGACCGAAAGCAACGGATAAAAAGCAAAAGTGTCGGACAAAAAGCAAAATTATTGGATAAAAAGCAAAAGCGGACAAAAAACAAATTGCGGACCGAAAGCACAGTATCATACGTGAGCCTAGTTTAACGGTCGAGGTGGAAGGCTGTGGTATACTGACGATAGAATATGAATAGTGAACAGTTTATTTCACAAACCTATATATTACTGTAAAATCGTGCAATATCTTTATTATGTAATTTGGTTTTTTGTGTAGTTAATTATGGTCTCATTTACGTTTATCAAACAGCATCGAGCCTGGCATTTCATTCATATTTACTAATTTGGTTTCATTGCAAACACATACTGATGTATCTTACAGATAAAAAAGGTACACGGGGTTAGTCCAGAACTACATGAGAGGAGACAGTTGGATTCAATACTTCGCATTGAAAACAATTGAGGACCTTATTAGAACTATTGCACACAATTCTAATGTAAATAAATTTTACATGCATATGTATATAATTTAGAATTGCCATGTGATAATCAAGTACACAATCCTGTATGTGATCAGTCAATTCAACTTTCGATCGTTTATAGTACGCGCGTGGTTTTTTTTTCTTCGCAGGTGTACTTGGGAGGGGCTTCAAAGTTTATTTGAGGTCGAAGGTTTGAATTGACCAATGACAACGATCGTTCTTTAACGAGTTGACCTAATAAAGTTTGTTTGACTGATTGGCCGAGTTCACTTGAAACTCTAGAGTTAACTTTACTAACTCGGGTTTCAACAATCCGAATTTACTAGAACCTCTCGAGTTAACCCTCTTACCCCGGTTCCAACCCTCACTGAGCCAGGGTTAAACTCGAGAAACCCTTGAATGACGTCAAACCAATCAGATTTTTTCCTTTTTTGTGCTTAGTCAGGGCCTTACCCTATAGTTACTTTGAGTTGTTCCGAATAGCAACTCGAGTGCGTTCACGTGAAACTCTTGAAACTATATAGTGGACTCTAGAGTTTCAAGTGAACTCGGCCATTATGTCGCACAACCTTACGCTAAGCTTGGCCGCAGTTGCAGTCGTTCTATAGTTAGTGTGACAAGTCTTACTAGTAGTCGAAAAGAAAGTAGACAAACATAACCACTGGACTGATAATTGACTATAATTTACTTTTGTTAATTAATCTTGTTTTTACAATTTATTGCCTTGTTTGGTTTAATTATTGAATCAACACCTGATTGCCGTATAGAAAAATTACAAACAATACACCTGAACATCTTGCAGTACTTATATTAAAATAAGGAGATGTGGTATGATTGTCATTGAGACAACTATCCACCAGAGTTCCAAATTAAGTGGATGTAAGCAATTATGGGCAACCGTACAGCCTTCAACAATGAGAAAAACCCATACCGTATAGTCGGCGATTAAAGGCCCCGACATGAAAAATATGAAACAATTCAATTGAAAAAACTACTGGCATAATTTATAACAGATTTGTTTACGAAAAACAAATATGGCAGACATAAACCAACGACAACCACTTAACTACAGGCTCCTGACTTGGGACAGGCACATTAGATTGTAGACTACATTAGAATGTAGACTCTTTGTAGCAGAGCAGACATAGCGTGAGACTGCTTCTTTTCACACTTGATGACCTGGAGTTTTAACTCGTCTTTTTTTTTATTTATCACAAAAAACAGAAGACCAGTGTAACAAATTTAATGAATTAATAATTACATTACTATCAATTATAAACTGTTATAGTGAATGACTGTCACATAAAAGCTGGTGACCAAATCTTTGGTTTCGGTGTATCAACTTCCTCATCTGAACTTGCAGGTGTAACATTTGAAGATTGGATATTGTTGGTGAAAAACGGTGCAGATTGTTGTTGTATTTCGAAAGTATTTTCATGGCGTGGCGGGAAACAGTTATACATGTTTTGTCCTACTTGTTGCATGTGTTGAAATTATGTGTTATATCCAGTTGGCATCTGTTGGTTCAAAAACGGAAAACCACAAACTACATTGATAATAGGTCGGAAAATTAAATGGAAAGTGATTAGGACTATAGCTAGCTATTTTCTATATAAGGAAATGCCTGTACCAAGTCAGGAATATGACAGTTGTTTTCCATTCGTTTGATGTGTTTGAACTTTTGTTTTTGCCATTTGATAATGGACTTTCTGATTTGAATTTTCCTTGGAGTTCGGTATTTTTGTTATTTTACTTTTTTCTATAAACATAATCAGAACAGTGCATATGCTGCCTAACTGCCTGTCTGCGAAGTGACGGTACACATTTCTTTACAAGGTGGCGAGTCAGTATTACTGGAATCAGAATCATATTCCCTTTTTATTTTAGTATTGACCTCCTTGAATTTCTTCAGAAGTTCTAATTTATCGTTTTGCGAAACGGTAAGCGTCATTACATATCTTAACAGAACACTGGATTGGGAGTATTGTATCTTCCTAAGCCTATCCTTTACAACTTTTGTGAATGAGTTACTAGATTTTGCCTCGTAAGCAGAAGCACGTACAAGCTCACCCTCCAAATCAGCAACTTCTTTTTTGATGTTTTTGATGCGATTATGAAGTTTTTTTTTATCATATCTATATTCCTTGTGTTTATCTTTTTGGCCACATGATC